GTGGTGGGTCCTGCTCCGACACGACCGTCCGCTCCATCACACAGCGGGGAGAAGAGCCGACAGCGCCTGGAAGCCCTGCTGGTTCCCAGGGGTGGTTTGGCCGGGGCTCCCCGCGACCTTTTGTGGGATGAAACGGGGAGAAATGGCTGCGGGGGCCGTTGCAGCACATCACGGGCCTGCGTTTGATTTCAGAAAGAGGAAGGGGACCGGCGCCTGACGTGGGAGAGGAACCTGCGACTGGTGACGCTGCACAATCTGGAGCACTCTCTGGGGCTGCACTCCTACCAGCTGGGCATGAACCACCTGGCAGACATGGTAGGTGCCGGCCGTGCCGCTGAGAAGGAGCTTGTCTTTGTCTCTAATTACCTGTGAGGTTGGTTGAACAAGGAATATAAGTGGGTTAGGAGTGGAAAAAATCCCCAAGGATCCTTCTCAGCCCATCCTCTCCTTGTGGACTCCAGCAGCCGCGGACAAACTGCTCAGACATTCCTGTGCTCAGCCTGCCGGCATGAGGCAATCTGGCGTGAAGAAATAACACCCTAATGCGGCATTTGGGGTGCGTGGACCTGGTCCTGGTCACTATATATATTTGCAAATCATCCCTTTTCAGTGTCCCACGGTCGTAGTGTTGTTTAATGAAACATGCCAGCTTCTGGGGGGGTTTGGTGATGGAGCTGTGCTTTGTATCTTCTTTTTCTTGGCCTTTCCAATGGATGGCTAGAAATTCAGTGTAAGAAATAAAAAGCCAAGGACTTCACAAACCCACTAACCTTTGCAGCTCGGGCTGTTCAAGGGAAATCCCCCGTCACTTCCAGCACTCCCAGTGCAGGACTTACCAGAGACAAGGAGATCATGAGCCAGTGTTTTCCTTTTCCCACCAGACCAGCCAAGAAGTGGCGGCTCTGTTAACCGGGCTGAACGTTGCTCCTCGTCTAAACCGGACCTCCACGTACCGACCGCGGCCTGGCAGCAAAGTACCGGACCCGGTGGGTTGGTGGTCACGGAGGTGAAGAACCAGGTGAGGAGCCCCCCCTGCGCCTCGCCACGTCTTGGCCCCGTGGGGCAACGTCTGAGCATCTCTGGGGCTCTCGCAGGGCGCTTGTGGGTCGTGCTGGGCGTTCAGCGCCGTGGGAGCCCTCGAAGGCCAGGTGAAGCTGAAGACGGGGAAGCTGGTGTCCCTGAGCGCCCAGAACCTCGTTGACTGTTCCATGATGTATGGCAACAAGGGCTGCAGTGGAGGTTTTATGACCATGGCTTTCCAGTACATCATCGACAACCAAGGGATTGACTCCGATGATTCCTACCCCTACACGGCGCAGGTAGGCGTCACTCCTTGGCAGCACGCGAAATCTTCAGAAAAACACACGAGCATGGAAGCGACACGGCCATTCGTTCTGCTCTCCTGCGCAGACGCCTTTCTCCTCCTCTCCCACTGAGTCCCCTCTCTCTTGGTTTCCACCAGTCTCGTGTCATCTTCTCAGTCTTTGCAGCTGAGTCTTTCAAATCCAGGGAAGGGACCTTTGGACTTGTTTTTTTTTCTTTCCTCATAGGTGAATGACTGGACTGGGAGCCAGAATTTCTACATGTTTATTTCTGTCCCACATAAATTACTAGGCAATGTACGACACAGAAGGGAAAAATGGGACAGGAGTCCTGGGTCCTGTTCTCAGCTCCCTGTGTTGTTCCTCCTGCCGTGGTTTTGAAACGGGATATTGATATTTCTACCGTTTCAGTGGGCATCGGTGAATGACGTTCATACGACTGTTTTTTGAAAGTTGCCCGTAACAGATGCTGTATGACCACTGCAAGGTCACAAAGAAAGAGTTGTAAGAAAATAAAGGTCGTAGTGCTGAGAGCCTTGATGGCCAGAGACAAGAGATGCCCTGAAATGACCTGGGGTCTCGAAAAAAAATGCGGTTCTCTGTGTCCGGAGGGAGAATGAGAAGCCCTGGGCTTGATCTGCAATAAAAGAAATTTAGGTTAAACACGAGCGTTGCGATGGGCAGGAGGAGGAAGCAAGGACGGGTTCTCTAGGGAAGTGGTAGCAGATTTGTGACGAGAGGTTTCTAGAAAACAGGCAGAGAATTCTGTCGAAATCATTTGCCTGCTGTGGGGAAGTGGGATGGACAAGATGGTCTTTCGGGTCCTTCCAGCCACCTTTTCTGTAGTGCTGCGTATAGAAAAACGGGGGTCAAAGAAAAGCGAAGGACGGGGTAGAAGGGAAGTACCGGAGGGCTGATAGAAAACACGTAGCTGAGAGTCTTGGGATGTTCCTGGTGGATTCCTCATGCTCCTCTTCTCAGCTCCCCCTTCTTCCTACCAGAATGGGACGTGTCAGTACAACGCTTCCACACGAGCCGCCACGTGCTCCAAGTACGTTGAGCTCCCATACGCCGATGAAGCAGCCCTGAAAGACGCCGTAGCCAACATCGGGCCAATCTCCGTCGCCATTGATGCCACCCAGCCCACCTTCTTCTTGTACAGGTCAGGTACGTCCTTTCACCCTGGAGATCGTCTTCACGGTCTTCTGTGTCTTTCTGCAGGTAAAGCTGATGGGATTTGGTGGAATTTGGCAAGTTGGGGCTTAATTCCTGGATGAAGGCATCAAGATGACAAAACCTAAGATAGCAGCGTTGGTGACTACGCCGAAGGTTGACTTTGACTCAAAGACAAGGTCTGATGGCATGCTTCCGAACTCCTGTTGTTCCAGGTGTGTACGATGACCCCCGGTGCACCCAGGAGGTGAACCACGCAGTACTGGTGATCGGCTACGGCACCCTAAATGATAAGGATTACTGGCTTGTGAAAAACAGGTAAAGGCAGGGCTGTACGTCACTGAACCCTTGTTATCTACGTGCTCGTTATCTATAGGGAATGGCTTCTCCTAGGTAACCACCCACTGACACCCTCCTGATCGGATAACGACCGACACTTATACAGAGGAGAGGGAGATCAGTGGGGGTTGTTACAGACTTGGAACTTGGTACCGGTCCTTCAATCGAGGGATTCGTGCTTAGCCATGTCAAAGCGCCTTTATGTCACCCTAGCAGCGTGAAGGAACTCTAGATGTATTTAAAACATGCTTACACCCACCTTAAGCTCCCTTTCTGTTGATGAATGCTGTCATAACTTAATACAGGATGAGAAATCCCATGAAGCAGTTAATGAAAACATTTTGATGTCGTGATGTTGATAAAGCCGCCGCTTCCCTTACAGGAAAGGGAATTTAATTTTTCTCATGTCTTGTTTGTTTGTTTGTTTTTTCCTGTCCCAAAAGCTGGGGCGTGCGTTTTGGTGACGAGGGCTATATCCGCATGTCGAGGAACCACGCGAACCATTGCGGGATCGCCAGTTATGCCTCTTACCCGCTCATATAGACGGACCCTGTGCTCCAGAGAGGACTCCTGAGGCTTCATTTAAACCACCGATGCTACGCTTGCGTGGATCTACTGACCTCAAGGATGATTTGGGGGCTTTGTGGGCAACGTCCTTCTGTTAGATTGGCGGGTGTTACAGGCTGGGAGGGAGTCCTTTGCGTGGGAGGATTTTGGAATAAGATTTACAGGCACTCAGTGACTTCTTTTTGGGGAAAAAAAGTGTTGGGTTTGTTTTTTTTTCAGAGTAAAATTGCGATACCTACAGTTGTAACGGAGATCACCTACAGTTAGAACAGAGATCATGTTTTCCCCTCTCCAGTTCAGCATCGAGTACTGCTACGATGACACAGATATTTTATCTCTGTGCCTTGTTGATGAAATCGCAGATACTCTTTGAAAAATAAAAGATGTGTCACTGTCCAAAAATCCGGTATTTGGTCTCTGGAGGCTGGAAGGGGCGGCAGAGGGAATTCCAGCTGGTACTTTCTCATCTGGCACTGCTCCCCCATGTATGGACCCCCCATAAAACCTCTCCAAATGATGTTTATGATTTGGGAATGGAGGATATGGACCATCGCACTGCTGCCAAGAGCGCAGGGAGAGAAAGTAGCCGATATCCGTGGTTTCACGTTGATGTAAGTAAGTCCTCACGATGATGATATTGAAATGTAAATGCTATCACGGGCACTTCAGCTGCCATCACACCCACACAGCACGACCCATCATCAAACACACCACTTCTTTCCACGTTTTCATGTTAAACCTTTTGGTCGAGACTGCAAATTCACCAGCCCTTTTTCTGTAAATTTATGTATTTACTATAGGCTTTAAAAGATGTTTTCTAGTTTGTTTCAGAGGCAGAACGTCGGTTGAGCATCACTTTTCTCTGCCGTTGGGCGTTGTGCTGGCCTGAGGTGCCACCTTGGGGGAAGTGGGGGAATCGGACAAGTCTCCATCCGCAAGGTGACATTTCAGAATGCTCACATCACCTCTCAAAATGATCACCTATTTTTGGCCTTTGCAGTTAACCAGACAGGTTATTGTGGGTTTTTTTTTTAAATTCTTTTGTGCCAAAGCATTGCTCACTCTTAAAACCCCATCGACCGAAGACATCTCCTTTCCAAGCATCAAGATCTTGGCAGACCTTGAAAGGGGATCAAAACCCATCGTGTCTTCAGCAAAAACATCAACCAGTGGAGAGCGGGTGGGCCAAGAGCCTCATGCAACGAAGTAAAAGCAGAAATATTTTGACTTACCGCAAACATCCAAACTGGGGGGCTGTGGGAGGGTATTGGGGAGGGTTCTTGCAGGTACCGGGCAGGTATAGGTGGCACTGGGAGGGTCTTGAGTGGTTCTTGGGGGCCCTGAAGAGTTTTTGGGTGCTCAGGAGGGTTACTGGGAGGTTCTGGGATGGCCTTGGGAGCGCTGGGATGTTCTGGGGGGCTTGGGGGTGCTCTGAGGGCATACCGGGGGCACGTGGAGGGTCCTTGGGGGCTTGGGGGGGCAGGGGCTGGGAGAGCGTATTGGGGGTATTGAGAGGGACTTGGGGGCTCTGGTTGGTACTGGGAGGCTCTGGGAGAGTCTTGGAGGATACTGAGGGGCTCTGGTCCTCTCACAACTCATTTTCTGGCTTTCCTTGTGCCCTAGAGGACCCTGTGTGCTTTTTACTCTGTCCGAGACCCCTGCTTTGGTCTTTGAGCCCCTCCAGAACTTTCAACCCAAGTCCAAAACAGGGCCCAGGACCAACACGGACCCCCCGCTATGGCTCCCACACAAGCGCGGCCAGGACTGAAAGCTTTTCGCAGCAGTTACCCTTCCTTGGCAGCCCCTTCTCAGCCCCCAAACATTGGGGCTCTCAAAAAACCCTCGAACTCACCCCAAAACTGACCCTAACCCTTCAAAAGGCCGCTGCAAAGCCCAGCAAAGATCCCAGGGCGCTCTGGAGGGCTGCAAGGCCCACCACGGGTTCCCAGCGAAGCCCGGTGAAGGCCTCGGGGCTCTCTGGAGAGCAGCGGGGCCCACCATGGGCCCCCAGTGAAGCCCGGTGAAGGCCTCAGGGCTCTCTG